AGGGCAGGTGATGGCCACACCTCACCTCCCCCATCATAAGGTCAAACATTGCCTAACCACAAAACCTTACAAAGTTGTGACGATTGCTACGAGGTAGGTGAAAACCAAGTGGCCCCATGCCAACTTTGCCAAGTGGAAAAAATTCCTACCAGGCCCCTCAATGGCGACCAACCAAGGTCCATGCAGCTGGGAACAGGGCATGAGGGTTGCTGGTGCCGTAAGTTCCATGAGAGAAGCTTGCAGAATTCCGGGTTCCCAATTTTTGTGTGTGTGTGTGATGAGAGGCATAACCCAGAGCAGGCCCTTCTTCAAAATGCCGCCCCCGGCATCTGGTGACACACTTACTGGGCACAGATAAATATTTCAGCACCCAATGAAATATTCATTTTGCTCCATCTCCATCTCCCTTTTCTCGGTTTAGTGCAGGCCCAGAGCATGAAAGATGGAAATAATTGCTCCTTCAGCGAGAGGCTTGTAATAAATGTATGTGTGTTTGTGTTAAATTTAAAAAAAGACCCCTCTTAGACACAGATGAACTGCGCCAAGGCACCTTGTGGAGACCATGATTGATGCTTTGTATGGAATCGTAGAATTGTAAAGTTGGAAGGGACCCTGGGGGTCATCCAGTCCAACCCCCTGCAATGTAGGGATCTCAGCTGAAGCATCCATGACAGATGTCCATCTAGCCTCTGCTTAAAACCCACCAAGGAAGGAGAGTCCACCACTTCCTGAGGGAGATTGTTCCATTGTCAAGCAGCTTTTACCATCAGAAAGCTCTTGTTCAGGAATGTGTGTTTTTTAATAGCCCTTTTAACCCAGTATTATAGTATTTATTAGGTCAGGAAACAGGGACACGGGTGGCGCTGTGGGTTAAACCACAGAGTCTAGGGCTTGCCGATCAGAAGGTCGGTGGTTCGAATCCCCGCAACGGTGTGAGCTCGGTCCCTGCTCCTGCCAACTTCCTGCCAACCTAGCAGTTCGAAAGCACGTCAAAGTGCAAGTAGATAAATAGGTACCACTCCGGCGGGAAGGTAAACGGCATTTCCATGCGCTGCTCCGGTTCACCAGAAGCGGCTTAGTCATGCTGGCCACGTGACCCGGAAGCTGGACACTGGCTCCCTCGGCCAATAAAGCGAGATGAGTGCCGCAACCCCAGAATCGTCTGCGACTGGACCTAATGGTCAGGGGTCCCTTTACCCTTTACCTAGGTCAGGAAACAGTTGCCTAGCTGGTGCTAAGAAGTATATATGCATTTCTGTGCACGTTACTGGTTCAGAGAACGACACTGCAAAATAAATAAATAAATAAATAAATAAATAAATAAATAAAAAAAATTCAGAGAGTTGCGAATTTCAAAGGATGGCCTGTTTAATTTCGCGTACTGTTTCCGAAATGGCAAATTAGAGTCGCTTTTCAGCGCAAATGGAATTGGGTTTCTCATGCATCCCTAAGAGCAAAGCTTAGCTGTGATTCCTGCATTGCAGGGGGTTGGACTAGATGACCCTCGGGGTCCCTTCCGACTCTTTGCAAGTCTTTGAATCAGTTTCCTTCCTGGGAACCCTTGCACTCAGGTGATCACACCATAGTTTGGCTTAGCGTGACATGCAAACCAGGCTTTTGGGTAGATGTGGTTTTGCAATGGTGATGAAAATACTCTACTGCCACAAGTCCTTTGCTCTTGGAAGGAAACCATGGTAATAACACCATAGAATCTTAGAGCTGAAAGGGACCCAAGGGTCATCTAGTCCAACCCCCCGCATTGCAGGAATCTCAGCTAAAGCATTCATGACAGTTGGCCATCCAACCTCTGCTTAAAAACCTCCAAGGAAGGAGAGTCCACTACCTCTCATGGGAGTCTGTTATGCTGCTGAACAGCTCTTACTGTCAGAAAGGTTTTCCCCCAAAAGTTTAGTCAGAATCTCCTTTCTTGTAACTTGAAGCCATGGATTCGAGTCCTACCCTCCAGAGCAGAAGATAACAAGCATGTTCCCTCTTCCATGTGACAGTCATCTAGATATCTGAAGATGGCTCTCCTATCTCCTTTCAGTCTCCTCTTTTCCAGCATAAACACACCCAACTCCTTCAACCATTCCTCATAAGGCTTGGTTTCCTAACCCTTGATAATCTTGGTTGCCCTCCTCTGCCCACCTTCCAGCTTGTCAGCATCCTTCTTCAACTGTGGTGCCCAGAATTGGACACAGCACTCCAGGTGTGGGCTGACCAAGGCAGAATAGAGTGGTACTATTACTTCCCTTGATCTGGACAATATATTGCCTATATTTTTAAAAACTGCTTTATGCTTGAAGAGCAAACATGCCCTTCAATCTGCTCCTCAGGCTGCTCTGTTGTGAATTAAATTGTATGCTGTAATGATTGGTTCTTAAGGAATTGTATATTTGTTATTAACGGAAGCCTGTAGTCCCAAAAGCAGCTTAGAAATATCTAAAGTTCATGGAGGGTGAGTGTTTACAATCTCCCTTTGCGCTTCTGGCTTTGCTTTCGTTTCACAATAAGCCAAGCAATGAACCCCAATTGTAAGGACGAATAATAATAATAATAATAATAATAATAATAATAATAATAATTTTATTATTTATACTCCGCCCACTCTGGGCAGCTTCCAACAAAATATTAAAATACAGTAATGCATCAAACATTAAAAGCTTCCCTAAACAAGGCTGCCTTCAGATGTCTTCTAAAAGTCTGGTAGTTATTGTTCTCTTTGACATCTGGTGGAAGGGTGTTCCACAGGGCGGGTGCCACTACCGAGAAGGCCCTCTGCCTGGTTCCCTGTAACTTGGCCTCTTGCAGCGAGGGAACCACCAGAAGGCCTTTGGCGCTGGACCTCAGTGTTAGGGTAGAACGATGTGGGTGGAGACGCTCCTTCAGGTATACTGGACTGAGGCTGTATAGGGCTTGAAAGGTCAGCACCAAGACTTTGAATTGTGCTCAGAAACGTACTGGGAGTCAATGTAGGTCTTTCAAGACCGGTGTTATATGGTCTCGGCAGCCGCCCTCAGTCACCAGTCTAGCTGCCTTATTCTGGATTAGTTGTAGTTTCTGGATCACCTTCAAAAGGTAGCCCCACATAGAGCACATTCAGTAGTCCAAGCGGGAGATAACTAGAGCATGCACCACTCTGGCGAGACAGTCCACGGGCAGGGAGGGTCTCATCCTGCATACCAGATGGCAGATGGCAGATAGCTGCCCTGGACACAGAACTGACCTGCGCCTCCATGGACAGCTGTGAGTGACTCTTTCAGATTTTTGAAATTTGGCAGCTATTCGTCCTCCGCTATGGAAAATTCCAATACATGTTTGGGAATATAGGTGACTAGAAGGGGAGGGGGGCAGACAAACTGACAGTACACAGCTTCTCCCATGGATATGAGCCATTACATGTAAATGGAACCTTCAGGAGCAGAGGCAGTCTATCTCTGAATATCAGACACCAGAGACAGAAAAGAAGGGAGGGCTCTCGGTGTCATATCCTGCTTGTGGACTTCCTGGGAGCATCTGGATGGGGAGGAACAGGAAGCTGCTCTCGATGTTCTGATCCAACGCAACTTACCTTACATTCTGAACTCTCTGCGACAGAGAACGAATCTTTCACATCCTCCGTTTGACACCTCACTTCCCTCATTTGGAACATGCATTTTAAAAAAGAAACATCTCTTGAATATGATTTAACTTTGGCTCGAACCAGGTGTGGGTCCCCCTTAGGCAGGGGTCTTCAAACTCTTTCAGCTGTGGGCTTGTCCACCATCCCTCAGACCTTGTGGTGGGCCGGACTATATTTTGAAGAAAAAAAGGAACGAATTCCTGTGCCCCACAAATAACCCAGAGAGGCATTTTAAATAAAAGCACACATTCTACTCATGTAAAAACACCAGGCAGGCCCTACAAATAACCCAGAGATGCATTTTAAATAAAAGGACACATTCTTTGTTGTTGTTTAGTCGTTTAGTCGTGTCCGACTCTTCGTGACCCCCTGGACCAGAGCATGCCAGGCACTTCTGTCTTCCACTGCCTTCCACAGTTTGGTCAAACTCATGCTGGTAGCTTCAAGAACACTGTCCAACCATCTTGTCCTCTGTCATCCCCTTCTCCTTGTGCCCTCCATCTTTCCCAACATCAGGGTCTTTTCCAGGGAGTCTTTTCTTCTCATGAGGTGGCCAAAGTATTGGAGCCTCAGCTTCAGGATCTGTCCTTCCAGTGAGCACTCAGGGCTGATTTCCTTAACACATTCTACTCATGTGAAAACACGCTGATTCACGGACCATCCGTGGGCTGGATTTAGAAGGCGATTGGGCCGGATCCAGCCCCTGGGCCTTAGTTTGCCTACCCATGCCCTTAGCTCTCTTTGTATGCACACACACACACACACACACACACACACACACACACACGTGTGTGTGCTAGAGTGTGTATGTGCCTCTGTCCGTGCATGTGCTCACAGAGCTATCTAGAGGATTTTCGCCCGCTCTGGAGCAGAAAGGCGTTTTTTCTCTGAATAACGGCATAATTGCACTCCCACGCAAGCAGCCTGTCTGGCTCACGCTGGGTTGGGAAAAGAGAGAGAAGGACCCAGCCTGAGCCGAAATGGAGCAAAAGGGTGGAGATTGTTTAGAGCAACCAAAGCTCCTGGAGTCTGGGCAAGCAGAAAAGAAGGAGAAGGTGAAGAATCAAACAAATGTATTATTATTTAATAAAAGGAGAGAGAGAGAGAGAAAGAGCACAAATATTCTTTGCCATAGTTAAGCTCCGGCAAATCATAGCTCAGCCTGCATGAACATGGCAGCTTATTCCATTCTCTTGGTGTTGGGAAGGGGGCAGGGGGGCTTCAGGATCCTCTCAGAGGCCTGGTGCGTCCTTCCCAAAGCCGGGAAGCTTCTGCCTGACTTAGGGAGGGAGGTGCGATGTTCATGTGCACAACATCACACCTGCGTCAGCCCCCCACCAGCCTTTGCAAGCTGGTGCCTCTGCCCCTAACTGTTCCCCTATGACAAATTTCACTGCACACCACTGCAGTTCAGAGTGGCTGGGGCAGCCCAGTCAGATGGGCGGGGTACAATAAACAAGCAATTATTATTATTATTATTATTATTATTAGCCAAGGGGATCCACTGACACTTCAGGACGGGCTCAGCCACTTGGAGCCCAATACCCAGGCAGAATTATTCAGTGTGTGTGTTGACATCCCCCACAAGCTCAACCTGTTGACTTTAGTGGATGATTCTTATTTATTTGTCATCATGGAGAGCAAGCGACTGTGAACATATGGTGTGCGCCAACAAATAAGGGCTGGCTGAAAACTGAGCACCGCCCAGAGTGGTCTCCCAGACCTGATGTTCAAGGCACAAACGAAACGCGAAGTTGCTTTAACATCTGAGCGAACGTCTATTTGAGGACCTGGCGGAAGTCCTAAAAGGGAAGCATGGAGAAAGTGGAGCGAGAGAAACATTTTTCTCCCTCTCTTCTAACACTTGAAGTCATGGACATCTATTCACTGTTTTTTTTATGGGAAAAGGTGGGAGAACTAACTATGAAGGTGGTTGGTTGGTTGGTTGGTTGTTTAGTTAGTTAGTTAGTTAGTTAGTTAGTTAGTTAGTTGTGGGCCCAGTTGCAGTGGCGCGTGCGCACTCACACATCTCGGCTGGGAGGTAAATGTAAAGGTAAAGGGACTCCTGACTGTTAGGTCCAGTCATGGCCGACTCTGGGGTTGCGGCGCTCATCTCGCTTTACTGGCCGAGGGAGCCGGCGTACAGCTTCCGTACAAAAAAACGCAACCTGAAGCATCTGTAACCCAAGGTATGACTGTAATAATAATAATAATAATAATAATAATAATAATATTTTAAAGGTAAGGAAACTCAGTTCCCCCGAGTTCCTCCTCAAAAGACCCCCTGCACCCCATGAAGATGAACAGGACACCTAAAAGGAAAGACTTCTTTCAGCCCAAAGTTAAGCTATGGAACTCACTTCCTTAGCAGGCAGTGATGGCCACCGATTTGGATGGCTTTAAAAGAGGATTAGAGAAATTCACGAACAAGTCTCTCAGTGGCTACTGCCTCACCGATCAGAGGCGATGATGTTCCTGAATATCCGTTGCTGGAAACCACAAGAGGGGAGAGTTCTCGTGTGCATAAATTCTGGTTTCCCACGGGCGGCCACTGTGGGAACAGGATGCTGGACTTATATGGGCCGTTGGCCTGATCTAAGCAGGGTTTTTCTGATGTTCTTACGCCTCTTCTGCTGTTCTTAGTGCCCAGTGTGTGGGTTGGGTGCAGAAGTTTCATCCCACTTCAAAAGGGCTGGGTTGCAATCTCATAAAGTTTGAGGGAAGCTGTAGCGGGTAGGCGGGCGATAGGCTCGGGTCAAGCAGACGAACGAGGAAAAATAGCTCAGTTTTTCTTTCTCTGCTTCCTTCGCCCTTTCCAACCTTGCAACCCCGCGAGAACTTTTTGAGTTTTCCCTCCACCTCTGCCTTCCCTCCATCCCTCGGCCCCCTTCTTTCAGTGGTGGTGGGGGAACCTGTGTAATTTGTCAGTAATTGATTTTCTCTGAGCCTCATGTCAACAAGACAGGATCTCGGTTGCCACGGCAACCTTGCTCCCTGATGCTGCTACTGGTGGGAGGGGTGGGAAAGGGAGCAGCCAGGCACCATCCCACTCGTTAGGGCACCAGCCCGATTTCCTCTCCCTGGACACCCCCACCCCCCATTAATTCCCTCCAATTTCTTCATCCCGTTGTGGGATTGGGGGGGGGGGGAGTGGACAAAGTTAGGGAGAGGCGGGGACATGCTAGCCAGAGAAGGAGCTGAAAGAGATGCTTGCTCATGTATTTGGGGCGGGTACAAAGACTCTTTCTTTGGGGTTGCGGTGCTCATCTTGCTTTATTGGCCAAGGGAGCCGGCATACACCTTCCGGGTCATGTGGCCAGCAGGACTAAGCCACTTCTAGCGAACCAGAGCAGTGCATGGAAACGTTTACCTTCCCGCTGGAGCGATACCTATTTATATACTTGCACTTTGATGTGCTTTTGAACTGCTAGGTTGGCAGGAGCAGGGACCAAGCAACGGGAGCTCACCCCGTCGTGGGGATTCGAATCGCCAGTCTTCTGGTTGGCAAGTCCTAGGCTCTGTGGTTTAACCCACAGCGCCACCCGCAGCCCTTTTAGACATGGCCCAGGTCTCCAGGATGGCAGAGGGAACAGCTGCCTGTCTCTCCCAGTTCCCTGGACCTTCTGCCCCCTTAGCCACTGAGGTCAGTTGTTGTTGTTGTTTAGTCGTTTAGTCGTGTCCGACTCTTCGTGACCCCCTGGACCAGAGCACACCAGGCCCTCCTGTCCTCCACTGCCTCCCGCAGTTTGGTCAAACTCATGCTGGTAGCTTCAAGAACACTGTCCAACCATCTCATCCTCTGTCGTCCCCTTCTCCTTGTGCCCTACATCTTTCCCAACATCAGGGTCTTTTCCAGGGAGTCTTCTCTTCTCATCAAGTGGCCAAAGCATTGGAGCCTCAGCTTCACGATCTGTCCTTCCAGTGAGCACTCAGGGCTGATTTCCCTAAGAATTGATTGGTTTGATCTTCTTGCAGTCCATGGGCCTCTCAAGAGTCTCCTCCAGCACCAGAATTCAAAAGCATCAATTCTTCGGCTATCAGCCTTCTTTATGGTCCAGCTCTCTCTTCCATACATCACTACTGGGAAAACCAGAGCTTTAACTACACAGACTAGACTCTTTAACTAGACTCTTTCTAGTCAGGCGCAAACACCCAAGGAGACTGCGAAGAAGGGCCGACGGGAGGTGTGTCCCCTGAGGACAAGGGGCGTGGCTTGGGATATGGCTGAGGAGAGGGTGTGGCCTCTACAACAGCCAGATAGGGAGGTCTTGAGGGCTGCATCCAACCCACCCAGGACTGGGTGAGGTTCTCCTGCTCCTGGCTCAGGAGAAAAAACTCCAGGCTGCTGATGCTACTGCCGCCCCTGAACATCTGCTGCCTGAGGCTGTTGCTTCATTCTGCCCAATGATCGGGCCGGACCTGGGGAGCAGCAGGAGCACAGCCTTGTCCTTTTTTTGTCTAAGGTGTTGCATTCAGTTACATCGATTTGTAAACCTGAGAAATAAATAGCACAGAGGACAGTCCTAGTGTTTTTAAGGCATCCTCTAAAGGGCTTTCTGGCCCTAGCAGAGTTGAAACTTAAAGGACCCTATGAAGGAAAGCATGCAGGGGCCTTGGAAATTGCCTGCGCTCAACAGATAGCAAAACGAAGAAGCAAACTGGTCGCAGGCGAGATGCGCTGCATTCCTATTTCAATTATAGTAATGATTTCTAAATTTGCATCCAAGCATATAAATCAACACATGCAAATTTTATGTAAATCTCTGTCCTCTTTTGCACTCCCCCCCCCCCCAGTGTGGAAGTGGCAACCCAAATTAAAATAGTTAATTTTAAAATAACTTGTCTGGAAATCATGACCTCTGGCCTGGAAGTATTCTCCCTTCGTTAGGAGAGGTGAAGAGATCTGGTTGTGGCTACTCTGGAGTATAGGCGGTGCACTCTGCACATGCTCAAACATAGTCTCAACTCCTTTGTGGATTTTGAGAGGATACGCAGTGGCATTTTTTTTTAAAAAAACCCCAACCCTGCTTTCAATAAACAGACTATTTAAAGAGATTTATCTAACCTTTAGGTGGATTTAAATTGGGATTGTGTGTCTTTGGCTTACATTTTACATGTTGTGCGTGTGTTTGTGTATCAGTGAGTGAGAGAGAGGAAAAAAGTATCTATCTAAAAAATAATACCTCTGGAGTGGGGTAGGGGATAAAGCAAACCGTGGGCGGAATGAAATGAATAATTATCTGCGATGACGAATCTTCTAGATGGGGATAAGAAAATGAGTCAGAAAGAGGTATTTTCTACCAGAGGGCAGAGGCTACACGTTCGCAGGGACTTGTCTACAAGCGAAACAAACTGGGAAGCCGCGATGAAGACAGGCAGATAAATCATCACCATAATAGTTTATAATGCATTTCCAAATGTTTCACATACATTATCTCAGCCATCCTAATGTTTCACATACGTTATCTCAGCCATCCTTGCACAGCTGCCAGGGCACGATGAGGACATCCTTGCAAGTGTGGCAGACCTGCGATGTTGTCATGGAAGAGCTTCAGGTCAAAAGTCTTTAGGAAAATCTCTCAAATGACTCCACAGACCCTTAATTCCTGAGTGCAAGCTTGCACTCCTGTCAATTTGGGGAGTGGAGTTGCTCTTCAGGGTGTTCTCCACAACGAACTCCTTATTCATCTCTTGTTTGCTGTGTTTATGGAGTTCTGGGCAGCACCTGATCTTTGTAAGCTCCAAGATTGGATGGCTCTCGACTGTCCTAGAGAAATCCACCCATCAGGCTTCATTCTTCAGAGCAAGGGTGGAGAACCACAGGTCGGGGGGGGGGGAGAGAATGTGGTCCTCCAAACCTTTCTCTCTGGCCCTTGGTATCCTCCCCAGTTCAGGCCCTTCATTCATCCTCTAAGGCACCTGTCTTGAGAACTTTCACCAGGCTGAGATGATAATGACTCTTGCTTCTCTGGAGGGAGCATGGAGACAGGTGTGTTTGTGTGTAGAAAACAGCCTCTTGCTTTGTGAAACTGAAATATATACCCATTGCTCTGCCAAGTCTTGCCACTGCTTTAAAGCCTTGCTCAATTCTGAGGCCTCCTGTGCCATTTGGTGTCCCTTTAAATCAGGGGTGAGCAACTTTTCTCCTTCCATCGGGGTTGCGTGCCAGAGATTGCTGGAAACTGAGCTGTTTTATTTATTTGGAAACATTTGCAACCTGCTTAAGCACAGAACATTCTACGTGGCATCTATCATAACAATGCAGCCAAAACACTGCTAGCCCCCTCCCCCCAAAACCCTGTTCTTCTGCTCCCTTCCCAAACAATACAACACAGGTTGTTATTTGATAGTATTAAAAAAAATTCAAGTGGCAGGGAGTTCCGAAGCACGGCATTGGGAATTCTAATGTGAGAAAGACTGAACTGAATCAGGGTAGGGTTTTCCAGATTATTTCACCCACAACATTTTTATCCCTGGCTGCACCCCATTCTTGGTTCTGGCTCCATCCACCAGCAACATGTACCCCTGTTTGACAGATTACATCTGAGGGAATGTGTCTCTGAACCCTTGCCACCCAAAAAATAGTGTTGCCAAACCTCCTCTGCAGAGGAGGATGCAATTGCAGAAGCCCAATACTTGCCACTTTGAGATCCTTGGAGGAACGGCAGAACCCAAATGCAATTACCAAGGGCGATGGCAACCCTGTGTGTCACGCAGGTATGTTTGCGAGGGAGCCTTTGTTGGCTGCAGATCCCAGTTGCATGGCAACAACCACCTAAAGTGAAAGTTGGGGGTAGCGGGGGACGGGAAGATACCTAAAAATTAAACACGCCCTAAGAAGTTTAAAAGGCGTTGTGAGAGATCTCGTTTCAGCACCACGGACAGCGGCAAAGCTGTCCCTGATACTTCATGTAAACTCAGTTTTAACCCGTCCAGTAAGAAGCCAAATGAGGGACACAGGTGGCGCTGTGGGTTGAACCACAGAACCTAGGACTTGCCGATCAGAAGGTCGGCGGTTCGAATCCCCGCGACAGGGTGAGCTCCTGTTGCTCGGTCCCTGCTCCTGCCAACCTAGCAGTTCGAAAGCACCTCAAAGTGCAAGTAGATAAATAGGTACCGCTCTGGCAGGAAGGCCAACCTAGCAGTTCGAAAGCACATCAAAGTGCAAATAGATAAATAGATACCGCTCCGGTGAGAAGGTAAACGGCGTTTCCGTGTGCTGCTCTGGTTCGCCAGAAGTGGCTTAGTCATGCTGACCACATGACCCGGAAGCTGTACGCCAGCTCCTTCGGCCAGTAAAGTGAGATGAGCGCCACAACCCCAGAGTCGTCCGCAACTGGACCTAATGGTCAGGGGTCCCTTTACCCCTTTACCTTTAAGAAGCCAAATGAGATCTCCTTCACTAGAATCTGGTGGAGACGTCCCCAAATCCACTCTCTTGAGAGTGAGATCAAGCTGATGGGCCACAGTGCAGACTGCAAGAGCCGCTGGACCGTTAGGAAGAAGAGCTTCCTGGATTACGCCAATGGCCCACTTTGTCCAGCATCCTTGAATCATAGAACTGTAGAGAATAGAAGGGACCCTGAGGGTCATCTAGCCCAACCCCCTGCAATGCAGAAATATTTTTGCCTCACATGGGGCTCAAACCCACAACCCTGAGATTAACCTTCTGCATGCGGAATGGATGCTCTGTCCCTGAGCTACAGCACTGACCAAATAATTATATAATAATAATAAAATTTTATTTATATCCTGCCCTCCCCAGCCGAAGCCGGGCTCAGAGCGGTTAACAACAATAAAAGTAACACAACATTCTAAAATCAATTCATTTTAAAATCAATTCAAAATCTAATTAATGGCAACCATTGGGCTAGAGTGCTATGAGGATTACAGAAGGAGAGAGGGGGTCAGACTGTGCCTTGGCCAAAGGCCTGGTGGAACAGCTCTGTCTTGCAGGCCCTGCAGAAAGATGTCAAGTCCCGCAGGGCCCTAGTCTCTTGTGACAGAGCGGTCCCCCAGATTGGGGCCAAGGCCGAAAAAGCCCTGGCTCTGGTTGAGGCCAGCCTAACCTCCCTGTGGCCCAGGATCTCCAAGATGTTTTTGTTTGAAGACCGTAAGGTCCTCTGTGGGACATACCAGGAGAGGCGGTCCCATAGGTACGAGGGTCCTAGGCCGTATAGGGCTTTAAAGGTTAAAACCAGCACCTTAAACCTGATCCTGTACTCCACCAGGAGCCAGTGGAGCTGGTATAGCACTGGGTGAATGTGATCCCGCTCCTTCCCTCCCTCCCTCCTCCTCGTCCTGCCTATCCAGTTGGTTTCTGATGTCGTCACTCTGCCCATCTGCCAGGGTCTGATAGAGGAGAGGAGAGAATAGCAGGGAAGGATCCCTGTCTCTCCTTTCCCTCCCAATTGATGTGATCTTCCCCTAATCTGGCTGCCAGCAGATACCTAACCTGCCAGAGAAGCGCCCACTCTTTGGAACGAGTCGGGAGAGGGAGGATGCGAAACCCGGAGAGGGTGGTCTGATGAGAGCATTTATGCGCCACGGAACACACCATGGAAACCAAGGCTGGAAGGAAATGTTTTCTTCTGGTGCACTTGAAAGATAAAAAGGGTTTGCAAAATGGGGGTCTTCTGGTGATGGTTTGCTTTCTCAGGGGCTCCCGGCTTTAATTACACTGCAGGCACAGAGAGAGAGGGGGGACTTTTTCAGCCTTGTGGAAATACAAAGTAAAAACTTTGCTTGGTACAGCTCAGTAAAGTGGTACCTTGGTTTACAACCATAATCTGTTCCGGAGGTCCGTTTGTAAACCAAAACAGATTGTAAGCCAAGGCGTGCTTTCGCCAATGCGGCCTCCCCCCCCCAATTGTTCATAATCCCCCCCCAAAGGGTTGTAATCCAAAAAAAAAAAAGGTTGCAAACCGGGACACACACAAACCGGGTTTGACATGTTTGTAATCCAAACTGTATGCAAACCAAGATGTACTGTATGCAAACCAAGACGTACTGTATGCAAACCAAGACGTACTGTATGCAAACCAAGGTACCACTGTATTGTCATCACTGACTTCCAGTGGGATCGATCTCTCTCTCTTGCCTGTTGCTGGCATCCATCTGTCTTGGGAGACAATGGAAGACTGTGCCTATGGGGTGAGTCCAACCATTGGAGAATTACAGCGCCTGCTGTGGCTTTAGAGACTGATACAAGAGAGACATGTTTTGTTGCAGCCAGGGCAGATGAAGGCATCCAGTTGTGCTGCTGCAGATGTACCATGGCATTTCTTCTCTCTGCATTCCTCCTCATTGCTCCTCTGGTAACTGCTTTGGATGCATGTTCTATCATCTATCTATCTATCTATCTATCTATCTATCATCTATCTATCTATCTATCTATCTATCTATCTATCTATCTATCATCTATCTATCTATCATCTATCATCTATCATCTATCATCTATCATCTATCATCTATCATCTATCTATCTATCTATCTATCATCTATCTATCTATCTATATCTATCTATCTATCTATCATCTATCTATCATCTATCTATCTATCTATCTATCTACAGTGGTGCCCCGCAAGACGAATGCCTCGCAAGACGGAAAAACCGCTAGACGAAAGGGTTTTCCGTTTTGGAGTTGCTTCGCAGGACGAATTCCCCTATGGGCTTGCTTCGCAAGACGAAAATGTCTTGCGAGTCTTGAGATTTTTTTTCCGCTTCCCCCCCCCTTTATCTAATCTGCTAAGCCTTTAATAGCCTTTAATAGCCTTTTAGCAGCTAATCCCCTAAGCCTTTAAGCCTTTAATAGCTGCTAAACCGCTAATAGCGCTAATAGCGCTAATCCGTCAATGGGCTTGCTTCGCAAGACGAAAAAACCGCTAGACGAAGACTCTCGCGGAACGGATTAATTTCGTCTTGCGAGGCACCACTGTATCTAATCTATCTATCATCTATCTATATCTATTTATATCTATCTATCTATCATCTATCTATCTATCTATCTATCTATCTCTATCTATCTATCTATCTATCTATCTATCTATCTATCTACCTATCTACCGGTATCTATCGATCATCTATCATCTATCTATCTATCATCTATCTGTCTCTATCTATCATCTATCTATCATCTATCTATCTCTATCTATCATCTATCTATCTATCTATCTATCTATCTATCTATCTATCTATCATCTATCTATCATCTATCTATCTATCATCTATCTATCAGATCTATCATCTATCTCTATCATCTATCTATCTATCTATCTATATCTATCTATCTATCTATCTATCTATCTATCTATCATCTATCTATCTATCTATCTATCTATCTATCTATCTATCTATCTATCTATCTATCTATCTATCTATCTATCATCTATCTATCATCTATCTATCTATCTATCTATCTATCTATCTATCTATCTATATCTATCGTCTATCTATCTATCTATCTATCTATCTATCTATCTATCTATCATCTATCTCTATCTTTCTATCTTGGCAGGTCTTTCCTGCTGCATCCCTAAAAGGAGATCACAGACCTGGAAAAGTTGCAAAGGGGGCGGGGGGAGGCAGCAAAAGATTTTGCATAAAGTTGCAAAAAGTGATCAGGGGGCTGAAACAATTTCCCTACGAGGAAAGCATACAACATTTGGGGATTTTTAGTCAGAGGATAATGGGTAAAGGATCAGAACATGATAGAGCTTTATAAAATGATGCATGGCCTAGAGAAAAAGGGAATAGATGCTTTCTCTCTCCTGCTCCCGTCATGCTGCTTAAGCTGAAATTCCTGTGATGCAGAGAGTTGGACTAGATGACCCCTGGGGTCCCTTCCAACTCTTCAGTTTTATGAGTCTATGATACTGGAACCCAGGGTCATCTGACAAAACGCACTGGCAAGAGATTCAGAGGAAACGAAGCGCTTCTTCACTCAGCAGCACGCTGTTTACCTCTGGAACTGGCTGCCGCAGGACACAGAAATGGCCACTAACTCGGATTGCCATAAAAGAGGACTGGACAAATTTGTTGAGGGCGAGGCCTTTTGGTAGCTCCTATTCACGATGGCTGAGCTGTGCCTCCACCCTCAGAGGAAGCCTGTCTCTGAATGCCAGTCGCTGGGGGATCACAAGTTGAGAGAGTTCTGTTGCACCCAGGTGACCTGGTTCTGGGCTTCCCATGGACACCTGGTTGGAACTGGAGGTTAGGATGTTGGAGTAGATGGGGGCTTCAGCCTGATCCTGCAGGGCCGAATCTCTTTGCGGGGATATCTGGGCATGTGGTTTGCAACCTCAGCATCCTTTAAACTCTTCCCAATGAAGACTTTAATGCTTTCTCTCCCCTCTCACCCTTCCTTCTCCAGGAAATCCCTTTACGTGAAAATTGTGGACGTTGAAGAATATGAGAAGAAGGACAGCTTCTTCATAGAGCTGGGACAGCCACGCTGGTTGAAAAGGGGCATATCAGGTAGGTGGCTATGGGGTGTGGTGGGGAGAGCACCTTTCAAATCCAGAGCAAAAGACTGGAGGTGTCATCGTGAAAACTGGGGAGTGATGTTCATCTGGAGATGGTCATCAATGGTGGAGGAGCATCCCTAGAGGACCATCTGCTTTCCACCTTCCCCTATAGCACAGGGGAGGCACCTCAGGCCCTGAACCTATTGCTATGGGGCCCCCACCTCCATATCCTGGTCCCTGTTCAGTTTGGTTTGAGGTGGGTAAATGTTCTAAGCAGCCCACCTGAACTGGGACACAGCCTTGCAAAACTGCCACCAGCAGCACTTCGCTTTTGGTTTTGCTGCTTGCTGTTGGTTTTGTACTTGTAAAGCGCTTACAGAAGCAGTTTTGGCAGATAAGCAGCATATAAATAAGTAAATAACTGCTTACGATAGCAGCTTTGGGATTTTGGAGAGGCTCTAAGGGTGAGGCTCCCCCCACAATTCCAAGTTGGGACCTCTTAACCTTGGAGACCAGGGGAGGCGAAAAGCTAAAAGGGTAAAGGTAAAGGGACCCCTGACCATTAGGTCCAGTCGTGGCCGACTCTGGGGTTGCGGCCCTCATCTCGCTTTATTGGCCAAGGGAGCCGGCGTACAGCTTCCGGGTCATGTGGCCAGCATAACTAAGCAGCTTCTGGCAAACCAGAGCAGCGCATGGAAATGCCGTTTACCTTCCTGCCGGAGTGCTACCTATTTATCTACTTGTACTTTGATGTGCTTTCGAACTGCTAGGTTGGCAGGAGCAGGGACTGAGCAACGGGAGCTCACCCTGTCGCGGGGATTTGAACCGCCGACCTTCTGATCGGCAAGTCCTAGGCTCTGTGGTTTAACCCACAGCACCACCCGCGTCCCTGGCGAAAAGCTACTCTTGTGCAAAAACGGAAAATGACGGTGCTGTTGGAGCTGCAGAACCTTTCGGCAGGCCTGGAGCCTCAGTAAACACCCAGCCTTGGCTCTGCCTGGTGCCATCCCTAGAGGCGCCTAGCAGTTGCTTAGAAGGAGAGGGTTGCTTTGAACATGAAATCCCTGCTGTATTGCCTTTGATGGGGTGGGGCTGGCTCCCCAGCCATTCCGTTCCCTGGTGGCTGTTCCTTCAGATCACAAATCTCTCTGTCTCTTTACTGACAATCTGCGTAATTTCTCTCTTTCTCTCTCCCTCTTCTCTCTGTTTCCTTTGCCGCAGCCCTTTTGCTAAACCAAGGTAAGCTCTCCCTGCTTGCTCTCCCTTTTTCTTCAACCCCCTACTGCTTCTGCCTTCACAAACGCAGCTCACACTTTACCAACCCCATCTGTTCTCCCCACCCGCTCTGAACGTCTCACGGGCACAAACTTTCCAGCACCTAAAGTGCACTGCATTTACTATGCCCATTGTACAGATGGAGCAACTTCGCCCCAAAGTATCAGGCAGGCAAATCCTACGCTCAGAAGTGATTTCTGCTGAATTCACTTGGGCTCACAGTGCCCAAGTGAATGGGTAAAGCAGTGGGTTTCAACCAGCGTGCTGTGGCACCTTGAGGTGCCTTGAATGATGGACAGGGGTGCCACAGGCAACCCTGGCCTCTGTCCCGCTTTCCTTCCCTCCCTCCTCTGATGCCCTCTTGTGTCTCCACCTCCCAAAGGCTTGCACAGCTGTTTGTTGCAGCAGCCCTGGCTATAAGCTCCCTAGGCGAATGGTGCCTCGGGGGCTGGCTAGGGGGTGCTTCCCAGACCCCTGTGGGGCAATGTGAGGAGATACCTGTTGGGATGCTGCCAGGGAGATGGGGGCATTTGGCAGGCCCCCAGCTGGCTCCAGCCACCGGCCGGCAGCTGGGCGAACACCGGTTCCCAGTACAGTGGTACCTCAGGTTACATACACTTCAGGTTACATACACTTCAGGTTACAGACTCCGCTAACCCAGAAATAGTGCTTCAGGTTAAGAACTTTGCTTCAGGATGAGAACAGAAATCTTGCTCTGGCGGCACGGTAGCAGCAGGAGGCCCCATTAGCTAAAGTGGTGCTTCAGGTTAAGAACAGTTTTAGGTTAAGTACGGACCTCCGGAACGAATTAAGTACTTAACCCGAGGTACCACTGTACGGCATCAATCAGCGACACAAACCTCAGATACGTTTAGAGACTCGGCACGCTCTTATCAGCAGAGTGAATAAATCCTCACAACAGTTGTGGCGGACAGAGTCATGTGTGAGCATTATTTACAGCAAAGCATAGTTCAGGAACAAAGGAAAAACATGTCTGCTTCCCTTCGTCTCCAATAGCAAAAGCAATATACAAAAGGAAGTTCCCAGCAAGTGCTGGAAGTAAACAGGCATGTGACACACAACAGTCACGCCTGTTCCCTTTTAAAGTGGAACGGAACTATATCCTAACAACACCTCTCTTTGGGGCAGGGGGGGCAGTTCAGAGACCGGGGACAGCCGCTGCAGCTGCCCAGAGGACCCCCAAGTCGAGGGGAGGAGGCTGAGGGAACCCTCCACAAGGGAGGGTGTTTGAAAAAGGGCGAGAGGCTGCCAGCTCTGCAGGAAACGGGTGACATAACTGGGCTCCTGAGCCCCACGGGGGAGCCGCAGAAAGAATTTGTTGGTCAAGGGAGCCGTGGACTCAAAAAGCTTTTGCAGAGATGGAAATTTTATTACGAGGTGGTTTCCCACCCTATGTTTCATTTGCAAAAATAATAATAATTAGAAAATGGAACTTCACTGGGCATTCTACAAAGTGTAGGGTTCTGCTTTGACACAGGGCCCTCCAGATGTTGTCGGATTCCAGCTCCCATCATCCACAGCCAGTGTGACTAATGGTTAGTGATGTTGGGAACAGTATTCCAGCAATATCAGGAGAATTCCCTTTCCCTGGGTCAAGGTATGTGGGAGGAGAGATGTATTGGTGCTACAAGGGCAGGGATATTACAATTTCCGCATGTGACTCTGTTGTACACAGACTAGACACATAATTGTAGTGTGTGCAATACTTGTACATGACACTTCCAGCTGGTTATGGAATCAAAGAGTTGAAAGGGACCCTCAAGGGTCATCTAGTCCAACACCCGGCAATGCAGAAATGGCAGCTGAAGAGTGCCTGACAAAGGGCCATCCGACCTCTTGTTTAGAAACCTCCCATGAAAGAGGTTTCTGTTACAGCTCCTCATGCAAGCTAAGAATATATAAATACACAAGAACTGCCATGCTGGTCCAGACCATAATATCCACTTTGGCCATCTTGCAATTTCCAGAAGATACCTCTAGAATCTCGCAAGTGGGGCACGAAGGAGGTGTTTTTGTTCCTTGTTCCCAGCAGTTGGTATTCAAAGGTATACTGCCTTTAAACATGGAGGTTCTATAACTGCTAAAGGTAAAGGGTAAAGGGACCCCTGACCATTAGGTCCAGTTTTGACCGACTCTGGGGTTGCGGCGCTCATCTCGCTTTATTGGCCGAGGGAGCCGGCGTATAGCTTCCGGGTCATGTGGCCAGCATGACTAAGCCACTTCTGGCAAACCAGAACAGCGCACGGAAACACCGTTTACCTTCCCGTCAGAGCAGTACCTATTTATCTACTTGCACTTTGATGTGCTTTCAAACTGCTAGGTTGGCAGGAGCAGGGACTGAGCAACGGGAGCTCACCCCGTCATGGGGATTCGAACCGCCGACCTTCTGATCAGCAAGTCCTAGGCTCTGTGGTTTAACCCACAGCGCCACCCGCGTCCCTTCTGTAACCGCTAGTTATTGGTAAATCTCTCCTGTAGCCCCAATGCTTTCTCCCCACATGAATGTATGGGGCATGGATCCTTATGCGTTGTGTCCCGGACATGAATCCAAAGGGATTGGGTACTTGCTTTTAGCCAAATCTAGAGGACAAAATACCTGAGGACTTGTGAGGAATGCTAAAACGGTTTCACTAAGGCTGGCAAAAAAAAAAAAAAATGCAGTTAATTAAAAAAAAACAAAAAACAATTTGCTACTGGATTTTGTCCACCGCAAAATTCAATGCAGATTTGTTGATTTCCTCCAGTGGGGTTAGGAGGAAGGAAATCTATAGAATTTCGAGGAAAGCAAAAAAAACACACAACCAAACCACCCACAGAGGTGTGTGTGTGTGTGTTTGCTTCTCTGGTGCAATGGAATTACATATCGAATGGTGATTTGGTGTGAGATCAGGTTACCAGACGTCCCCGTTTCCTGGGGACGGCAGTCCCGGGATTTACAAATTGGTCCCCTGAAAAAAATCCATTTATTTAGTAGGAAGTTGAAAGGTGTCCCTGGATTTATGGGGCGCGGGGGCGGATCTGGTAACCTTAGTGTGTGTGAGGGAGAGATCCTGTTCCTGTGGCCTGTCCCTGCGGCAGTGTGCAGATTCCCCGAGGCAGGCAATGGAGTTGGCAGATGAGGTATAGCCTTCTATTAAACAGCTGTGGCTGGGAGAGGGAGCACTTTGCGGGGGCGAGGGAATGCCACGGGAGAGGGTGCGTGGGAGAAAGTGTGTATGCGTACGCGTTAGCCATGTTCTGGGGAGAGAGGCAGTGAGTGGGAGAGAAACTATATGCTTGGGAAGAGATTGAGATGAAAATGTGTGCTTTGATGAGAGGGAGGGAGAGGGAGAGAGAAATCTTACCTGCCCAAAACAACTCTCTGTCGTCTTCTTTTGGGGGAGAGATTGTGCATGGAACAGGTTGTGGGGTACATGGGGTCATGGGGGTTTTTTAAAAGAAGAAGACGAAGAAGAAGAGGAAGAAATTTTATTTATTCCCCGCCCTCCCCGGCCAGAGCCGGGCTCAGGGCGGCTAACATCAATAAAATTTCAGTAAAAACATAGTAAGAAGAAAGAGGGGGGAAAAAAAACAATTTAAAATACAGGTTAAAATGCAATTTAAAATGCAGCCTCAAAGTCAAAACCATAAGGGGAGGGAAACATAAGGGTGAGACCAAGTCCAAACCAAAGGCCAGGTGGAACAGCTCTGTCTTGCAGGCCCTGCGGAAAAATGTCAAGTCCTGCAGGGCCCCAGTCTCTGGTGACAGACAGTATCTTGGGTTCCATGTTGTTTGAGTACCAAGGCGTTTGAGAACCAAGGTACCACTGTATGCAAAATAAGTGGCAGCATATCATTTGCGTAGTTCACTGCGCTTGCAGGATCCTGCCTTTTCTCTCTGTGCTGAATTTTGGTGAGGTATCCTCCCCCTTCCTTTCAGGCACGGGGTATGTATTGCCATGTGATTTGAATTCACTGCCCTGGCAACTTAACATATTGTCAGTGGGGATCATTCTGGCATTCGGATGAGGGTGAAACAGCAACTGCGGTTGAGTAGGCTTGAACGGAGGTTCCTATCTTGGAAATTATCTATTGCCCAAGTGAAGAAAGCCAAGACGCCAGGGAAAGGAAGCAAAAGTGGTCTGGACTCCAGGATTCTGTTACTTCGAGGCATTAATGCAAAATTGCATGTTGCAATTTTTCTCTACAACAGATGTTTCAGGCCCAGCAGGAGTTGCACTCCAGAAACATTTCTACGAGGTTGGAAACATAGCTGTCAACCGTCCCTTATTTGGCGGGAAAGCCCCTTATCCCAGTGCTGTGTCCCGCTGCTGTCCCTGATTGATGATGTCCCTTAAATTTCCCGGGTTTCAAAGGAAGCAGCTCCTCTCCCTCCCTCTCTGCCAGCCACGGAGGAGGGAGGCTCCAACTGTGTTGCTTGGCTGCTTTGCTCACCCAATAAGGAGTCTAAGAACAACTGGGGTGTGGAGCTTGCATGCCTTGTCCTGATCAAATCGGCCGCGTTGCCTGGGGACTCGCCTTTGCTCAGCGCTTCCCAGCGGAGAGGGGACGGTGTTTTTCCTTGCTGCATCCCCTTTGCCGGGTCGCTGCGCTGTGGGAACCACCGCTTGAGGCTTCGTTGGGCTGCTGACTGGGCTTTCTGCCTTCGGCTCGGAGGGGCTCAGAAATCAAACATACCTGTGCTCTGAAAATCCCTTATTTTGGCTGCTGAGCCCTTATTTCCGAGGCTGTTGGTCCCTTATTTTCAAATCTGTAAGTTGACAGCTATGGTTGGAAATGGCTGCTCTACAAAAAGCAAAACGAAAACCCACAAATCCCCACACAGAGAAAGCTTGCTCTTCAAGGAGAAGTATACAAAGCAGCTTCTTCCCCTGATGAGCTATTTTTCTACATTAAGGGGAATATTCCTTCCCCACCACCACCCAGGTACCAATGTCCAAGCAAGTCATTTGCCCATCTGAAGCCTAAAACCCTAGACAGCAGGAAAAAAAGATTACCACTTTTGTTCTGCAGGTTTTCTAAACCAGCACTTGGTGTTTGAGAATCCAGGATTCGAAAAATGAAGAATATATTTTTATAGGCCACAGTGGCAGCAAGAGTTCTTATCACTACGAAGTGGAAGAGTGATGAAATCCCCTCCCCCCAATAAAAATGGATCCAGACAATGCAGAGCTAGGTAGTTTATCAGAAAAAATAAAGAACAAACCAAAACAGGAATTTATTTCAAAATGGGAAACCTTCAAAGTTTATTTGAGGTTGAATCCTGACAAGACAGAAGTACTGTTTTTGGGGGACAGGGTGTGGGCGGGTGTGGGGGACTCCCTGGTCCTGAATGGGGTAACTGTGCCCCTGAAGGACCAGGTGTGCAGCCTGGGAGTCATTCTGGACTCACAGCTGTCCATGGAGGCGCAGGTCAATTCTGTATCCAGGGCAGCTGTTTATCAGCTCCATCTGGTACGCAGGCTGAGATCCTACGTGGCCACGGACTGTCTTGCCGGAGTGGTGCATGCTCTGGTTATACCCTGCTTGGACTACTGCAATGCGCTCTACGTGGGGCTACCTTTGAAGGTGACCCGGAAACTACAACTAATCCAGAACGCGGCAGCCAGACTGGTGACTGGGAGTGGCCGCCGGGACCACATAACACCAGTCCTGAGAGATCTGCATTGGCTCCCAGGACGTTTCCGAACACAATTCAAAGTGTTGGTGCTGACCTTTAAAGCCCTAAACGGCCTCGGTCCAGTATACCTGAAGGAGCATCTCCACCCCCATCGTTCAGCCCGGACACTGAGATCCAGCGCCGAGGGCCTTCTGGCAGTTCCCTCATTGTGAGAAGTAAGGTTACAGGGAACCAGGCAGAGGGCCTTCTCGGTAGTGGCGCCTGCCCTGTGGAATGCCCTCCCAGCAGATGTCAAAGCAATAAACAACTATTTTACTTTTAAAAGTCATCTGAAGGCAGCCCTCTTTAGGGAAGTTTTTAATGTTTGATGCTGTACTGTTTTTAATATTCAGTTGGAAGCCGCCCAGAGTGGCTGGGGAAACCCAGCCAGATGGGCGGGGTATAAATAATAAATTATTATTATTATTATTATTTGAAAAACAATTGCAGTAGTTTAAACTCTGTCGCAGCATTTGAATAACTTTAGTAGTAGATTTAAGAAAGATATGAAACTTAATATAAATCAATAATTAGTTAATTTAAGATAAAAATATGTTTTGGCAACAAATAATAGATAATTGAAACAAGGAATGGATGGGAGGTTAGGTCTATAGTCCAAGGACCGCTTTTTGCTTTATTGATTTGTAACTAATATTGTCTTTATCATTGTTTTATTTGTATTCTTGTCTTGTTTTTTCCGTTCTTGATTATCAATTAAAAGAGAGAGAGAGAGAGAATCTAGGATCTAGGAAGTGGTCTTTTTGGAGAGGGTTGGTTGCCAGCGGAAGCCAGAATATTTCTCAGGGGCCTGGGGGAGGCAGAAATTAGTTCCATTTCCCTGTGCTGCCACTGGCCATTTCAACGCCAGGTGAAGCTCTCGGTTCTGCACCTCATTATCCCCAAGGAACCAGTATTTGGGTGTTTGGAGGAAAAGGTAAAGGTAAAGGGACCCCTGACCATTAGGTCCAGTCGTGGCCGACTCTGGTGTTGTGGTGCTCATCTCACTTTATTGGCCGAGGGAGCCGGCGTACAGCTTCTGGATCATGTGGCCAGCATGATTAAGTCGCTTCTGGCGAACCAGAGCAGCGCACGGAAACGCCGTTTACCTTCCTGCCAGAGCGGTACCTATTTATCTACTTGCACTTTGACGTGCTTTCAAACTGCTAGGTTGGCAGGAGCTGGGACCGAGCAACGGGAGCTCACCCCGTCGCGGGGATTCGAACCACCAACCTTCTGATCGGCAAGTCCTAGGCACTGTGGTTTAACCCACAGTGCCACCTGCGTCCCGGCATGGAGGATACTTCTGCCCAAATCCTCACTGCTCAGGTAGACTGCTGCTGCCCAGAAGGTGTTGTGTTAAAAAAAGGGGGAAAAGGAAGCCTGCTGGTTGCTGCTAGCACCATCCAAATTTTCCAGGTCCCCTCCCCCTCCACATCCTAGTGGTTCTCTGTGGCTGAATCCTAGCGGTTCTACTATGTTAGGCTGTGCAGGACCAGCGAGGAATGGCACTTGCTGCCTGGCCTGCTGCCCTCACTAAGCCTCTGAGCAAGATGCTATTCTTTTTTCATCTTCTATCTCTCAAACAGGCCAAATGATCCCGCGCCAAGAAGAAACCCTTTCATAATTGAATGTTGCATTAATAGCAGCTAATTACATGGCCATCTCTGGGTTATGGCCAAGGGCAGGTTGCACCTTTATTATGTTCTCAAAGGCTCAAGAACAGGGGTAGCCAGCACGGCGCCCTCCATAGGTTGAACTACAATTCCCATTATCCCCAATCAAGTTCTTCTACGGAAGTCTGTGGGTCTGAAGTGCTCCTGTGGCCAAGACTATCTGTCTATCTATCTATCTATCTATCTATTGGACTATGCAGAGCTGACAAACTGACAAACTAACAGCAAAAATAAGAAAAGAAAAATATCATCATCTGATGAAATCATGAGCAGGATTTAAATTATGAGCAGCCGTAGAAGATTGATAATACAGTGGTACCTCGGGTTACATACGCTTCAGGTTACAGATGCTTCAGGTTACAGATGCTTCAGGTTACAGACTCCGCTAACCCAGAAACAGTACCTCGGGTTAAGAACTTTGCTCCAAGATGAGAACAGAAATCGTGCTCTGGTGGTGTGGCAGCAGCAGGAGGCCCCATTAGCTAAAGTGGTGCTTCAGGTTAAGAACAGTTTTAGGTTAAGAACGGACCTCGGGTACTTAACCCGAGGTACCACTGTATATGAAATAGAACGATATGTCTCAGGTGAAATGTTTATTAGAATGCAGTACGTAAATGGGCTGGGATTAAGAACAGCATGGAGAGAAAGACAGGAAGAAAATTTTAAAAGAGAAATGTATAACAAATTTGGAATCTGGAATCAGTGCATTTTCCCAGAAGGTACTCAGGGGTACACGGTACCGGCACCTTTTTTGTTGTTAAAAAGTGTGGCACTTACTGGAGCAACTTCGTGGTGAGTACCAGCACCTATTTTTCTAGAAAGAAAGAAAAGCACTGTCTAGAATATATATGGCAAGATTTTAAAGTTTAATAAAAACTGGGCTCCAAAATCTCTTGATGCAGAGGAACGGGCTGTGCGACTCAAGAAAGGAAAGCCTACTGTCAACGGTGAAAAGTTGCAAGAACAAAATACAGAACCTCCATGTACAAGAGCAGTATATCTCTGGGTAGCAAAAGCTGGTTGACTCGGCTCACTTCCTGGAGGAGCAGTTGCTATATCTCAGCTTAGCCTACCCCAGAGGCTTGTTGTGAGGATGGTGAAACTTGCAGGATGGAAAGGGATGTTCCTTCGCTAGAGGTTTTTAAGCGGGGAGGGTATGGCCGCCAATCAGAGATGCTGTGGCGGTGTGCTCCCTCGTGTTGGCAGGAGGGTCAGGCTAGATGGCCTTTGGAGGTACCCCGCTTACGATTCTGTTGCTATCTGTGCACCACCTCGAGAAGGTGGGATATCAGTGTACAGTGGTACCTTGGTTCTCCGTTCCAGAAGTCTGTTCCGAAACTAAAGTGTTCCAAAACCAAGGCGCACTTTCCCATAGAAAGTAATGCAAAATGGATTAATCCATTCCAGACTTTTAAAATCAACCCCTAAAACAGCAATTTAACATGAATTTCACTGCCTAACGAGGCCATTGATCCATAAAATGAAAGCAATAATCAATGTACTGTACTATAAAGTAAATAAGGCAGTATTGTAGATGATAAAAATTAAAATTATTTTTTTCTTACCTGCACTGATGATTATTATTGTTATTGGATGGGGGCTTTTATTCCTTTCCACAGTCACTCACTCAATCAATCAATCAATCAATCAGTCAATCAGTCAATCAGTAGCTGAACTGGGTTCCACACAGTCACAAAAACAAATGAACCGAAAAACCCTCAAAAACAAAAACGCAAAATAAATAGCAAAAGCGCGGAACTTAATCTGTTCCGGAAGTCCGTTTGACTTCCGAAATGTTCGAAAACCAAGGCGCAACTTCTGATTGGTGCAGGCGCCCCAGAAACATTAGCCGACAGCCGCATTGGATGTTCGGCTTCTGAAAAATGTTTGAAAACCAGAACACACACTTCCGGGTTTTTGGCATTTGAGAACCAAGGTGTTTGAGAACCAAGGTACCGCTGTAGTCTCTTCTTCCTTACTCCATGTTTTCCCCTGACTTAGTGGATGCTGACAAGAAGCTCTCAGCCGAGGAAGAGGAAGCCCGGCGGATCGCTGAGATGGGGAAACCGGTCCTGGGGGAAAACTGCCGTCTCGAAGTCATCATTGAGGAATCCTACGATTTCAAGGTGAGGAGGGGGACACGGCAGGTGCCTTGCTTGCCCAACCTCAATTCCCAGCCCTTTGCACCCATGTGGCGTCGTGGTTAGAGCGTTGGACTCTGAGCTGGGAGGCCAGGGTTCGAATTCCCACTCAGCCATGAAGGTCACCGGGCGACCTTGGGGTCCAATCACCGCCTCTCAGTCCAACCTTACAGGGTTATTGTTGTTGCGGGGATTAAAGGGGGAGAGGGAGGACCACACAAACCACCTTGCCCTCCTTGGAGGGAAAAGGAGGGATACGGCTGCATTAAATAAATAACAACAAGCAAGCAACATAAAAAGTCTTTGCTGGATCTTGATTTTGGTTTTGCATTTGTATGGCACTTTTGCAGCTCAAAGTGGCTCACAATAGTAACATGAAGCATTCTACTCTTACCATTGTGCTATTCATAAATGCTAAATTATATTACCGTATTTTTCACTCTATAACATGCACCCGACCATAACACGCACATAGTTTTTAGAGGAGGAAAACAAGAAAAAAATATTCTAAACGAAACAGTGGATGTATGATTTTTGTGGTTCATGCTGTGGCCACAGACATGTGATCTGACGGTGAGTTTGGGGTAGCCCAATGCAAAAATCCTGAGGATCCATGTGGATCCATGCTTTGTAACCACGTTTTTGCACCACTGCAGCCCCAGGCAACAGTGGGTGTGTGATTTTTTTGGTGCAAGCTGTAGCCATGGACATGCTATGTGATCTGATGGTGAATTTGGGGTGACCCAGTGCAAAAATCCTGAGGATCCATGTGGATCCGTGCTTTGTAACCAGGCTCTCTGTCCCTCTCTTCTCCCCACTAAGCGGCTCTTCTCCCGCTTTGCTGTTTCAAAGCGAGCAAAGCAAGCCACGGAGGAGGGAAGGAAGGAGAACCATGGATCCTCTGCTCCCGACTGCAGCAGATCCCCTCCGCCACCCGCAGGCATTCCCTCCATAACACGCACAGACATTTCCCCTTACTTTCTAGGAGGAAAAAAGTGAGTGTTATGGAGTAAAAAATACGGTATTTAATAATAGTTAAATGATGATACAGTGGTACCTCTGGATGCGAACGGGATCCATTCCGGAGCCCCATTCACATCCAGAAGCGAACGCAACCCACGTCTGCGGGTGTCGCGATTCACCGCTTCTGCACATGCGCGTGACGTCATTTTGACCGTCCGCGCATGCGTGAGCGTCGAAACCCGGAAGTAACACACTCTGCTACTTCTGGGTCGCTGCAGCACGCAACCCAAAAATACTTATCCCGAAGCTACTTCAACCCAAGGTATGACTGTATTATTTACTACTCCTGATATAGATATTTTTTTTTTTGGTTATGCGTGGAGGACTGAATTTAAGACTGACGAAACCACGACCGACACTGCTCCCACCAAAATGCCCTAGACTTTTAGAGCAGTATCGTACCACAGTCATGGCTTCCTGTGAAGAATCCTGGAAACTGTAGTTTGTTAAGGGTACAGAGAGCTGTTAGGAGACACCCACCCACCCCGCATTCCCCCTCATGGAGCTACAATTCCCAGAGTTCCCCGGGAATCGGAAAGATGGTTAAACCACTCTGGAAATTGTAGCTCTGGGAGGGGAAGAGTGGGTCTTCTAACAACTCTCTGTGCTGGTAACATGCTACAGTTCCCAGAATTCTCTGGGGGAAGCCATGACTGCTGAAAGTGATATATGCATATCAGGCAGACCTGACTGTGCTTCTGTTACCCCCCTTCTGTAGAACACGGTGGATAAACTCATCAAGAAAACAAACCTGGCTCTGGTGATTGGCACACACTCCTGGCGGGAACAGTTTCTAGAGGCGATCACCGTGAGTGCAGGTAGGCGGCTCTAACTTGGGGCGATTGAGAGAGGCTGCCGTCGTGAGCTTACCCTGCGATTGTCACCCAAGGCCCTCTTCTGTGTGTCTGCTCCCCGGGAGGTCCAGAGGGCGGCAATGCACAAGCAGGGCCTTCTCAGTGGTGGCCCCTCGCTTGTGGAAGCTCACCTAGCTCCTGCGGGGAGCTGTCTTGCACATCCGAATCGACTTCGATTGATTTACCTTGCATTACGGAGGTCAATCCTGCTTAGAGATTTTTCCAAAGGATTTGAGGAAGGGTGAGAGGGAAGTCAAAGTTTTTCCTTTGGGGGCGGGGCAAGAAGGGGCAGATTGCTTTGGCTGCGGGTGTCTGTTCCCAAACTGCATGGCTCAACAGCAAATGGGCCTGCCCCATTGCTTCTCCGCCCCCAAATCCTTTTCCCCCTTCCCCCTCTGCCACCTGCCCTTCTTTTCAACCTCTTCTCATTCTCCATTCCCCACCATCCCCTCCTAATGGTCATCACCCTGTGGTTTGCAGGGCGAGCGCCACCTGTTGGCAGCCATGCGAACTACAACCTGACGACAACCTTACACAAATGTATGCTAGAGAAGAAACGCAGGGAAAAATACATTAACCTAAACACTGATATAAACACCTTCTTCTGATGCACTCCCTCCCCTTCCTGCCCATCAACACCTCTCAGCTTCCTGGCCCTCACCCAAGTCTCCACCCATCCCCCCTGGCTCTCAGAATTCACTTTTTAAAAAAGAAGGGGGAGGGGAAAGGATTCCTCGCGGCGCCTTCTGCCCATACCCCTACTTCACCTCACATAATTAGCTGTGGGGAAGAAAATGGATTTATTTATTTATTTTTGCACTGATGACTAAGTAAATCTGCCGAAATCTATGATTTTCCTCTCAACCAAGGAGCCTAGAAATTACTTCTTTGGCGACAAATAAATAAATAAAGCACAGGCGTTGCGTAGTTTTGTTGCTGCCCTGAAAATCTCTTTACGGTGACGGCACCCGCTATAAAAGCTGTGGATGGATTTTTATTTTTATTTAATGCTGGGGGACGGGGGCGGGAATGGACCGGGAGGGAAACAGAAAGAGAAATTATATATTCCCCCCTCTCCTGAGTCCTGCACTGCTGTCCACCCACAATGTTCTTTGCTTCAATCGCTCTTCCCTTCACACGGTCAATCAGGCTTCCCCCCACCCTGACACTCTTTGGTAAGGAAGAAAGAGAGAGAAGGAAGGAGACTATTTTGTGCCAGAGGATTACAGAATTGTGGAGCTGGAAGGAACCTAAAGGGTCATTCTAGCCGAAGCTCCGTGCAGTGCAGGAATTTACACTGAAAGGGCTTTAGTCCTGGGCTCCTGAAATTCCTAAACAGCCCTCATAAAAGGTAAAGGGACCCCTGACCATTAGGTCCAGTCGTGGCCAACTCTGGGGTTGCGGCGCTCATCTCGTTTTATTGGCCAAGGGAGCCGGAGTACAGCTTCCGAGTCATGTGGCCAGCATGACTAAGCCGCTTCTGGCGAACCAGAGCAGCGCACGGAAAGGCCGTTTACCTTCCCGCCGGTGTGGTACCTATTTATCTACTTGTACTTTGATGTGCTTTTGAACTGCTAGGTTGGCAGGAGCAGGGACTGAGCAACGGGAGCTCACCCCATCACAGGGATTTGAACCACCGACCTTCTGATCAGCAAGTCCTAGGCTCTGTGGATTAACCCACAGCGCCACCCGCGTCCCTAAACAGCCCTAGTAACACAAGCCAAATAGTGCTTGCTGGTGCCCATTGGGACCGGTGAGGTGGAATCCGTGGAGCCCAAATGGTAGGCGGAGCCAGAGGCATTCAAAGGCGGGGCCAACTCATTCCAGTTTTAATAAGAATAAGAATAAGAATAAGAATAAGAATTTTTATTTATACCCCACCCTCCCCAGCCAGAGCTGGGCTCAGGGCGGCAAACACCAATAAAATCACAGTAAAAACATAATGGGGAAAAAGAGAAGGGGGGGGGGAAACCAATTTAAAAATACAGGTTAAAATGCAATTTAAATTGCAGCCTCATTTTAAAGTAGCCGATAAATCAAGACCGTAAGGGGAGGGAAACATAAGGGTCAGACTGAGTCCAAACCAAAGGCCAGGCGGAACAGCTCTGTCTTGCAGGCCCTGCGGAAAGATGTCAAGTCCCGCAGGGCCCTAGTCTCTTGGGAGCGTTCCACCACGTCGGGGCCAGTGCTGAAAAGGCCCTGGCTCTGGTTGAGACCAATCTAACCTCCTTGAGGCTTGGGACCTCCAAAGGCCTCCCCTTTCTCACCCACTCCTGCTGATTCTTACAAGGGCAACAACATGCCCTACCATTGAAGCACTGTGATGCCATTTTGAACAGCCATTTGGGCTTCCCCCCCAAAGCATTCTGGGAGCTGTAGTTTGTTAAGAGTGCTGGGAGTTGCTGGGAGACCCCCTCTATTCCCCGCACAGAGCAACTAATCCCAAGAGGGCCAGAAACAGGATCAGGCAAATTCAGAAAAGGCTGTCCGTGGCTTTTAGACATCATGGCTATGCTCTGTCTATTCGGCTCTGCTTTCTTTTGGAGCACACCAGCAAGGCCAAGGGCTTTGTCATCTGGGCAGCCCAGGACTCCCATACACACTGCCCAGGCTTGCGCTGCAGCACTTCGGTGCTGCTAACGGAGGTTTGACTTCACCCTTGGAGCACACTCCAATGCCTCTCAAGACAGATGGATGCCAACACAAGCTTTTCAGTTTCACAGGCCTCTTTGCCAGGCACAACGAGAAGGTAAAAAAAAAAAAAAAAAAGAGGAGAAAGAATTCAAAAACGAACACAGTTTTCCATAGGGGTAATAATAATAATAATAATAATAATAATAATAATATATTATTTGTACCCCACCCATCTGGCTGGGTTTCCCCAGCCACTCTGGGCAGCTTCCAACAAAGGCCAAAAATACACTAAAATATCACACATTAAAAACTTCCCTGAACAGGGCTGCCTTCAGATGTCTTCTGAATGTCAGGTCGTTGTTTATCTCTTTGACATCTGATGGGAGGGCGTTCCACAGGGCAGGTGCCACTACCGAGAAGGCCCTCTGCCTCGTTCCCTGTAGCTTTGCTTCTTGCAATGAGGGAACCGCCAGAAGGCCCTCGGAGCTGGATCTCAGTGTCCGGGCTGAACGATGGGGGTGGAGACGCTCCTTCAGGTATACAGGACCGAGGCCGTTTAGGGCTTTAAAGGTCAGCACCAACACTTTGAATCGTGCTCGGAAACCTACTGGGAGCCAATGCAGATATCTCAGGACCGGTGTTATGTGGTCTTGGCGACCGCCCCCAGTCCCCAGTCTAGCTGCCGCATTCTGGATTAGTTGTAGGGTTGATCATTTTGGGTGAAGAATTCTGTGATGCTCAGAAGCTTGCTTGCTTCAGTGCCAACCTGCATTGGCCAAATAAAATACCATTTCTTGGCACAGGCACAGCCAACATTTAGGGCTGAGCAATCTAAGGACATAAGAAGTGTCCTGCCAGTGGCAAATCTAGTCCAGCAACCTCTTCTCCCAGTGCTTGATCAGATGCCCGTAGAAAACCCGTAAGCAGGATTTGAGCACATGAACAATTCTCCCCTCCTGTGGTTTCCAGCAGCTGGTATTCAGCGGCTGGCACTGTGGGTTAAACCACCAAGACTTGCAGATTAGAAGGTTGGTGGTTCAAATCCCCGCAACGGGGTGAGCTCCTATCGCTCTGTCCCAGCACCTGCTAATCTAGCAATTCAAAAGCACACCAGCGCAAGTAAATAAATAAAGCCCTCCTGTCTTCCACTGCCTCCCGCAGTTTGGTCAAACTCATGCTGGTAGCTTCAAGAACACTGTCCCACCATCTCGTCCTCTGTCTTCCCCTTCTCCTTGTGCCCTCCATCTTTCCCAACATCAGGGTCTTTTCCAGGGAGTCTTCTCTTCTCATGAGGTGGCCAAAGTATTGGAGCCTCAGCTTCAGGATCTGTCCTTCCAGTGAGCACTCCGGACTGATTTCCTTCAGAATGGATAGGTTTGATCTTCTTGCAGTCCATGGGACTCTCAAGAGTCTCCTCCAGCACCAGAATTCAAAAGCATCCATTCTTCGGCGATCAGCCTTCTTTATGGTCCAGCTCTCACTTCCATACATCACTACGGGGAAAACCACAGCTTTAACTATACAGACCTTTGTCGGCAAGGTGATGTCTCTGCTTTTTACGATGCTGTCTAGGTTTGTCATTGCTTTTCTCCCAAGAAGCAGGCGTCTTTTAATTTCGTGACTGCTGTCACCATTACATTATAAAATTACATTATAAAAACACAAAGTGCATTATCAAAATGTAAACAGAAACAGCTGAATACACTTTCCGCCCACCAAACCCAAATAAAAACAGTTAAAGGTTTTTTAAAAAAACACACACACAATTAAAAAGCAGTTTAAAAGAATGCAAACAGTATTCTCTGCTGGGTGCAGCCCTTTTGTCGTCTATCAGACCCTGCCCTAGGCCTGACAAAGGTGAGGCAGACAGGACCCTCAGAAATCAGTAGAATGAGGCGTAGATTTCCCAGTCATTATGTGGCATGGCCGTGGTGCCCTCTAGTGGCCAACTTGCCTTACAGCACCTTCCAGAATAAACGAGAAGAAAACCGCCTTGAGAAGGACTCAATACAGGTAGGTCGCTTCACCCTTCTGGCATTAACAGCAGCTTGAACTGATATTGAGGCTGAGCAGGCGAAGCATACAGGTGTCAAGGGAGATTTTTGCCTCTTTAATTTGCACAGGTGAATTTGCTGCTGCGAAAGGCCAGACAAGAGAGGCAGCACGGTGTAGTGGTTAGAGTGTCGGACTAGGACCTGGGATAGTGGACTTCAAATCCTCGCCCTGTTTAGGGAAGCTTTTAATGTTTGATGTATTACAGTATTTTAATTTTTTTTTGGAAGCCGCCCAGGGTGGCTGGGGAAGCCCAGCCAGATGGGCGGGGTATAAATAGTAAATTATTATTATTATTATTATTGCCATTTAAATGGGCATCATTTGATCGATTTCAGGGCAAGGCTTACCTGCCCCCCTAATATCTTATTCAAGTTGGCACCCCTGTTTGGAGGCCTCCCCACCCTCTTGGCCCAGAAGCGCCCCTAACTCTCAGTCCCTGTCTCCCTATCCCTAGGAGACGAGGAAGATGAGGAAGACGGGCGCGAGGAACGCCTCCCCTCCTGCTTCGATTACGTCATGCACTTCCTGACGGTCTTCTGGAAGGTTCTCTTTGCCTGCGTGCCGCCCACCGAGTACTGGAACGGGTGGGCTTGCTTCAGCGTCAGCATCCTGGTCATTGGGGTGCTGACGGCCCTCATTGGAGACCTGGCCTCCCACTTCGGCTGCACCGTCGGCCTCAAGGACTCCGTCAACGCTGTGGTCTTTGTGGCGCTGGGCACGTCCATACCAGGTATTTATCCTTGTTATGTACTGAAGTTCTCACCCTGGCCAGCAGGGGGATACTGTAGATAGTTTGCACTCAGGTCCACATATGCAAATAAGGGATTGAAAGTGACGCTCAGTGATTGGATAGTTACAGAAAGTGGTTACTGTTGCGTTGTAGTGGAGCTCTATATAAGCAGGCTGGCTGAACCCTTCAGTTCAGTTCTGTTCTGGCCTGTGAATAAACAAGAGCTGTTTGAAGAATTGCTGTGTCGTCTGATATGTTCACCCACAACTTAACAATCCTGACGGCATAAAGGGGGCAGGAAGACTTGCTGCAAGGTGGGCCTCTGAACCCCCAGGGGTGACCAGCGTTCCAATGCCCAAGCTCAAGAGGTTGAGGGTCTTTTGCAGGATCTCTTACGAATGTTTCTGTTGCAGATATGTTCTTACCCTTAACCTGATGCCCCCCAGAAGTTCACACGCAAAGGAAAGGCCAGTTTACCAACTGAAACGCAAGAGACAATAGTATGCGGGTGCTGTTTTCGTACAGCAAATTCGCAACATAAGCAGGCAGCAATTCATACAGCATGCGCACCTGATGATCTTGAGAGTCCACATAGGATCCCTGGCTATTTCCAAATCCTAGTAGCCATTTGCCCACTCTAAAGACTCGTCTACAGTTCTGTTTGTCCCATGATTTCTAGGCCCAAGTCCGAGAGGGTCTTCCTTTCATCCTGCCACTTTTAAACCTGCTCTTTACTGCTGAATTGGAACAAACATCAGTTGAGTTTTGTGGGGCTTGACATTTGTTCCTTTTCAGCAGTAAAGAGCAGGTTTCCCCAGGGAAAAACCTAAAATATCACAGGACAAACATAAGCGGGGATGAGCTGTAAAAGTGAAGTGAGGACATTTGTGACCCAGAGGGGTGGCCTTCCACCCCAAGGCAGGCCCCACAAATAACCCAGAGATGCATTTTAAATAAAAGCACACATTCTATTCATGTGAAAACACCAGGCAGGCCCCACAAATAACCCAGAGGTGCATTTTAAATAAAAGCACACATTCTATTCATGTAAAAACACCAGGCAGGCCCCACAAATAACCCAGAGATGCATTTTAAATAAAAGGAAACATTCTATTCATACAAAAACACGCTGATTCCCAGACCATCCGTGGGCTGGATTTAGAAAGCGATTGGGCCGGATCCGGCCCCTGGGCCTTAGTTTGCCTACCCATGGGTAAGACTTTCCTTTCGATTGATCTGCTTATTTACTGCCATGGGGGAGGAAGCTGATTCCCCGAAGCCTGACAAGAGGCCAGCCATTTCCTCCCTTGAAGGGGGCACTTGACTGCTGTTGCCCCCTTGTGGCACCAGGGCATCAGTGCAGGAGGAAGAGGGGGTCCCCCAGGGTTGTCGACCACCCTGTGTCCCTGCTGACCACGGCTCTCCTCTTCCCACAGACACCTTCGCCAGCAAAGTGGCCGCCCTCCAGGACCAGTGCGCTGACGCCTCCATCGGCAACGTGACTGGGAGCAACGCCGTCAACGTCTTCTTGGGGCTGGGCGTGGCCTGGTCTGTAGCGGCCATTTACTGGGCCTTCCAAGGCAAAAACTTCGAGGTGGAGACGGGCAGCCTGGCCTTCTCCGTCACCCTCTTCACCATCTTCGCCTTCGTCTCCATCAGCGTCCTCATGTACCGCCGCCGGCCGCACATAGGGGGCGAGCTGGGGGGTCCCCGAACCCCCAAAATCCTCACCACTTGCCTCTTCATGGGCCTCTGGCTCGTCTACATCCTCTTCGCCAGCCTCGAGGCCTACTGCCACATCAAGGGCTTCTGAGGACAGCCGGGCTGAACGCGTGGGGTGGGGTTGGGGAGAGATAGCTGGCCGACAGGGGGGCACCCACTGCAAATAGACGCTCCTGCGGCCTGGTTCCCCCACAAGTTTCTGAGCATCATTTCCCACCAGCCAGCCAGCCACCCACCCACCCCTCTGAACCACACGGGACAAGGGGGTCTCTTCTCTCCTCGCCTCAGGAGCAGATGCCCGTCCAATGGCTGCTCCCAAAATTTCCAGGCATCTCCAGGCCATATTTGCCGCCCTGCCCTTGTCCCACTTGCTTTCCAACCAGGACATTTCTGTTTCTCCACTCTTCGCTCCCCAAGGGGGGTCTGCCATACTCCAGTCCTGGGGTCTTCCCCCCCACTGGAACTAGGGACGCCAAGAGAGAGGGGAGCATGGTGTGTGTGTGTTTGTGTGTGTGTGCGTTCTGTTTTTAACACCCAGCTACCGCTGTGTCTGCAACGTGTCTTCTCAAACCCCCTCCTGTGGTTCTTCAGCTCCAAGGCACCTAAGACCACAAAACTAGAAGGACCAATCACCTTCCTTCCTTCTCTTGCTCCCCCTTCTTGAAGGCGGGCGTGGCGTTTTATGAAGGCCGCTCTCGAGAGGTGAATCCTACGCCAGCAGTAGCGTGATGGGATTTTGTCATTTGTTTTCTATCTCTCTCTCTCTTTAAATGATTCCGACGTTCTCAACAGTTGCTTCCGACGTGCTTTTGGAAATGGGTTGGGCTTGTCATCAGGCCAGAGACACGTGACAACCAGCTCCACCCCAAATAGAAGGGGACGTTTGACCTCAATGCTCATCCTCCCCACACACTGCCCACCCGTTCCTGGGATTTTGGAGGGGGGCCAACGGACAAGCAAAATCTCCTGCTGCTTTTTTCTACGAGGTCATGTTCACCAAAGTAGTGAACTTCTTTTGGAACAGCGCCATAACTCGCTTTTAACTCCTGTTCTGCTCTCTACGGCGAAAGGTGTTAGACTAAGTGTCTGTACCGCCCTGCTTTTTAAAGGAGGGTGACATCCCTCACCTTCCGACTGTTAGGACAGGGTCTTCCTCTCCTCCTTTCCTGGAATGTCTTTCTCCACCACAATGAGAAGAATTTCGCTCTAGGTGGGTGGCTGGGAGAATGGTATAGTTCTCTTTAGGAGTCGTTTTGTACCTTATCCGTGGTGGAATGGCTTGGCACATCACTATGGACGATTCTCTCAGATGGGGTGGGGGGACCCAATGACCTTCCTTTGAACTATAGGTATGGGTTGTCCTCAGTGATCCACTCATCCCCATGTGATTCTTTCGGAGAAGCGTGTGGGATCCAGGAAGGAGGACAGAGAAATTTCAGTGTGCCAGAAATGTAAAAATGATGCTCTTTTGCGGGAGGTGGGGCGGGGCTGGGGGGGTGATAGATGGCCTCACCCACATGCAGAATGTGAATGGAAGCAGGAACGTTGCCTTGAGCGAATACCGTTTCCTTCTGGCCATCTGAATGTGCAGATCAGTGTTTGTAGATCTTACCGTATTTCCCTCTGCAGGCAACTTGAAGGTCTCTTTCTGGAGCAAAACATTTGCCTAGACCAGGGGTCGGCAACCTAAGGTCCGTGGGCCACAAGCGGCCCATGGGGGTTGTTTAACACCCGCTCAGCGCTACACTAAACCGATGCAAAGCAGAGTGGGGACTGCCTTCCGCGATGCTGGCCGGCTTCCCATTGGCTGCAGGAAGCTCCTGCAACCAATGGGAAGCTGTGCACACCTCCTCTGCTCCAGAAATAGCTGCGCACGAGTGCGTGCATGCACACATACTCCAGCCCACCGCGGTGTCTGCGGAACCATGAACCAGCCCAATCCACAAAAACTTTGCCGATCCCTGACCTAGACTTAACATTATGATTGACCCTTGGGCGTACCAACTCCCTGGTCTACTAGAAATGTCTCGGCTTGTGCTGAGGGCTCATTCCCACCCAGGTACAGCGTACAATCGTGCATGCCTGGCTGAGACGGAAGAGACTGGAGACCAGCCTTCGCTCAGAACCCATTTTGCAACAGGAAGAGGAAGTGCCGCCATCTTGAAACTGGGAGCGCTGGGCTGCTCCAAGCTTGTGGCTTCCATGGAATCTCCCTCTCTTTGAAGAAACCGTTCCCTCTTCTTCGCCTCCTCCTAATAACTTTTCTCCACAAAGAGGGAAGCTCCCCCTCAGTTTATGAACACAGATGCAGTGAGCGAGAGATCAGGAAGGTGCCATCCTCACAAATCTGCTCCCAACACTGTTGCAGTGCATGCATTTCACTGCCTCTTTGCTGCCCACTCTCTAGGACTTTCCTTCTTGCCCTCATGCCCACAGCCATCCCGGATGCCAACTAGATATGGCCAGGCATCCCAGCACCATGCCTCTGATGAATGGAGTGGGGATTATTTGAACTCTTAGCAAGACTCCGTTCCTTCTCCACCGGAGCTTTGGCATCCAATTTCGCCCTTTATCACTGGCTGGTGGACCTAAAGACAACAGATCTGAAACCAGACTCACACTGCCATTGGGCAACATTGCCGTCCAATCATACTTGGTCTTAGAGGTTGTCTAGCTTTAAAAACATGGCAGATGATGGGTTTCAATGACTGGCTGAGGAGTGGAGCCAAGGTGGAGGACCAGAAGACTGGCTGTGTGATCGGAAGACACAAGTTTTACTGGTCAAACTGGAAACACCCTAGCCGGTTGGGAACAGCCATCTCAGCCCATCCCTATGTGCACCGCAAAGCTTCCTGCAGTGTCTCTAGCTCCAGAAATCCCATGTGGTACAGTTCTGTTTCAACCCACAATTTTGAATAGAACCAGCCCTGCCATTAGGTAGAGTGAGGTGGCTGCCTCAGGCGGCAGTTGCTGATGGGCAGGGAGCAGTGTTCAGGGCTGTGTTTGCTTTGGGACCTGCCCTGCTGCCCTCAGGTGTGTGGTGTGGTGTGTGGGATGTTCTCCTATTACCATGTTGAAAGTAAGATCTTCTCTAGGCAGATGGTTTCTTTCTGAGTGTCTTCTGCAATGTGCCATTGATGCAACGATAGTGCATTGGTGGAAGGTTTATAATGGACGCACCATTCTGCAGTTTTTCTGCAACGCTTCCTCAACGTTGCTGCATTATTGCCACCTGAAAGCACAATGAAAGCAGGACAAAAACAAATAAAAAGTTACAGGATTTCAGCAGGAAGTTATGGGAGACGCACAAAAGTTTTGCAGGCACAAACAGTATTGAAACCTGGCTTGCATATAACAGCCCAGATACCATCCTGAGAACAAGCCATCATGAATGCACAATAAACAGGATTTCTGGAGGGGCCCTAATTTTCAACCGCCAGCCTGGTTCATTTTTTTAAACATGGAATGGGATGGTGCTGGTGGAAGGGAGCCATCTTGCCCTTGCTTGTCTCAGACAGCAAAATAACTTGGGCCGGCCCTACCATTGGTTCATCTACTTATGAGACCAATGGCCAGTGGGAGGCCTTTGGATGAGGAGTGGGGACTCCAGGTCCCATCAACCTTGGCCATTGGTGATACTGACTTGGGCTGGAGGGGGTTGGAGTCCAGCGCAGCAAAAAAGAAGAAGCTAATGCTATTCTAGACTACATCAACAGTTGTATAGTGTCCCGATAAAGGGAAGTCATAGTCCTGTTCTCTTCTGCCTTGGTCAGACCACACCTGGAATACTGTGTCCAGTTCTGGGCGCCACAATTTAAGAAGGATGTTGACAAGCTGGAAGGTGTGCAGAGGAGGGCAACCAAGATGATCAAGGGTCTGGAAACCAAGCCTGATGAGGAACGGTTGAAGGAGTTGGCTGTGTTTAGTCTGGAAAAGAGGAACTGGAGAGAAGATACGATAGCCATCTTCAAATATCTTAAGGGCTGTCACATGGAAGATGGAGCAAGATTTAAGACTAGTGTCTGGGAGTAGCTGCCAATACCATGTAACACAAGTCCTAAAGGATCTTCACTGGCTCCCAGTATGTTCCTGAGCACAATTCAAAGTGTTGGTACTGACCTTTAAAGCCCTAAACAGCCTCAAAGTCCCACTATACCTGAAGGAGCATCTCCACCTCCATCATTCAGCCCGGACACTGAGGTCCAGCTCCAAGGGCCTTCTGGCAGCTCCCTCACTACGAGAAATAAAGTTACAAGGAACCAGGCCTTCTTGGCGGTGGCGCCCTCCCTGTGGAACGCCCTCCTGCCAGATGCCAGGGAGTTAAAGAATTACACAACTTTTAGAAAACATCTGAAGGCTGCCCTCTTCAGGGAAGTTTTTAACGTCTGACACTTTATTTTATTTTTATATTTTGCTGGAAGCCGCCCAGAATGGCTGGGGGGGGGGCGGGACCCAGCCAGATGCACGGGGTATAAACAATAAAATTATTATTATCATCATTATTATTTCCTCTTGCTCTGGAGGGCTAGGATCTGAACCAATGGATTCAAGTTACAAGGAAGGAGATTCCGACTAAACATCGAGAAGAACTTTCTGACAATAGGAGCTGTTTGACTGGGGACTCCTTTGGAGGTTTTTAAGCAGACGTTGCCTGGCCATCTGTCACAGGCGCTTTAGTTGAGAATCCTGCATTGCAGGGGGTTGGACTAGATGACCCCGGGGTCCCTTCGAACTCTACAATTCTATGATTCTATGAGCACATACAGGGCCACGGATTCCTTGACTTGGTGTGGTTAGGTTTAGGGATGGCTGTGCCCCTTTAAGTACATCTGTTTTGCATGCAGAAGGTCTTGGGTCCAGTCCCTGGAATCTCTAGGTAGGGCTGGCAGAGCACAGCCTGAAATCCTGGAGAGCCGCTGCTGCCAGCCAGTGTAGGCAGTACTGAACTGGATGGATCAATGGCCTGACTCAGTATGACTTCCTATGTCCCTCTGACACTTGCTTTGGTTGCTACCGTATTTTTCGCTCTATAGGATGCACTTTTCCCCCTCCAAAAATGAAGGGGAAACGTGTGTGCGTCCTATGGAGTGA